AAATAAGGCGAAAACCAAAAATCTCTCTGCTTAAGCAAACACACACTGGTCCAGCAACTCCATACATCCTTCTGCAGTGTCTCCCACACCTCCAAAATCCACCTGAAAAAAGGTCAAACCTCTCATCTTCGTGCCTAGTTGGAGCCGCTTAGCGGCTAACGTGTGTGGTAAATATTTCAGGCACCTGCAGGACATGCAGGTGGAGGGACAGAAGGCGCATTTGGAGATCTCAAAAGTCTTTCTGTGCTGCTGCTTTTACTCGCCTACGGAACACTGAGGTGATGCAACAGTCAGTCAGCGGATGACTCAAAATCCCATCTTCTCTGCATCCACCTGGCTTTCCCCCCCCCATCTTTTTCGAAGGGTAGTTCATTGGAGCTACATTTTACAAATCACCCAATGAGAGCACAAACGCAAAGGACGCTGGTTAGAATTGGGTGGCGTGGCGTTGACCAACTGACCTGGTTGTTGATGGACTGAGTGGTTGGAGGTGGAGTCAGGGGCTTGTTAACCCTTCCTCTGGGGTTGAAAGCCATAGCCTGGACAGGCTCGCTCTGTGGCCAGAAACTCTCGGAAAAAACTCCCTGCTCGTCGTAGAAATCCTGAAAGCAAACACACATAATAACATGTTAGGTCGCCATTTTTTTTGGTCCTGTTTAATGAGGCTGTGCTGTGGTAAAGCATGGCAGAAATACATGTTCAGCTCCTTTATGTCTGCCGTTATCTATCCAGACCGTCCACATGTAAAAAAAGGCCCAAAACTGTCAAAAACACAAAGTTAAATCAGACGTGTGAGTAGAATCCCACAGAATGATGTCACCATTGCAGTTTGGCTCAAGTTCCAACCCCAATTCCAAAGAAGTGTGAGACATGAATCAATACGGAAATTAATCATTCTCAATACTTTTCAACCTATATTCAGTTGAAAATATACAATACAAAGACAAAATATTTCACGTTCCAACTGATAAGCTTAAATGTTTGTTTTTTTGTGCAAATTCCCTCATTTTAAATTTTATGCCTGCAGGGCTACAAAAAAATGGCCAGGCCAGGTAAATATTCCCCCCATGTGCTCCATCACCTTCCCTATTCAGTCTGGGGACGGAGGACACGAACTGTGGAAGCTTCTCAGGTGGGATTCTCTCCAATTGTCGTTGGATGCGAACCTTCAGCCGTTCAACAATCGTCTTGCTGACAAAAGCGTTTTTTTTTTAAAAACGGAAACGAGGGTTGTTTGGATGCTGCTCCAAAATCTGTGCGAGCACCTCAGCATTAATGGCGCCACGGGCACTGGCACACCCCCACAGACGTCTGCCTTTGAACTTCATGCCGATAAAAATACAGACTGACCTTTTCCTCTTTGGCCCAGAGCACATGACATCATCCATCATTTTCAAAAACTAGTTGAAATGTGGACTCATCAGACCACAGCGCACAAATCTAAAGTAAATTATTTGATCCGATCGGATTACGTCAGTCAATGAATTACTGTAACCCCCCCCATAAAATACATGTCTCCTCTTCAATAAACAAGTGTTAACTATCAGTTAACAACAGAACCCTCCTCCTTATCACAAGTTAGGATTGGCCAAAAAAATTCCACTGTGGCCCTCTATAAAAATGTTGGTTATTTTTTTGTAAAGTTTTGCAGATTATTTACCTTATTAGCCCTGAGACAACATTTACTGTTATTTGGCCCAGTATAAATGCAACTTAATTTAAAAATCAGTGAAAAAAAGATAAACTTTTGTGTATCAGTAATGTTTTTGTTCTGGTTACAAATATTTACTACTTACTGGCCAACTACTGATATAGCTAGAAAGACCTGGATGAAGGTAAAAACTCCTAAAAAGAAATCCGACGTGATTTAGATTGTACAGAAACAGATAGAAGACTAGTCTTAAGGAAGAAAAGCAGTTCACATTATGTCACGGTACAGACAAAAGAGAAAAACAACCCAAAGATGAAGCAGACATTCATCAGGGGCTTTTATGTTCACTGAAGACCACATGCAAAGCTAAATGTTTTAACTACAGATGCTGGGGAGA